GTAGACAAATCGAACGATAGGCGCAACAGTGAATAGCAGTTCTAGTAATGCACTCTATCTCTTATCCTCTAAGTGTTTTTTTATGAAACTGAGTTGAATTGTTACGTATAGTATTCACATGTCTATGGATAGAAATAGCAAAATCTAAATGCCGTAAAATGTAATATACTGTACATTCATCCCTCGTGTCCCAGGATAATTTAATTCTTTTTCCTGTTTCAACCATCATAGAGGATCTGATCCAGTGTATATCTTGCCAGTCTGCCTCATTTGAAGCATGTTCGAAGTAAATTGGTAACTGCCCAAGAACACAGCCCCTCCTATCCCAATCCACGCAACCCTCGGCCCAACTCCCCTCCAGAACGCGCCAAATTCTTCCTCCTTCATGATCCCGCGCACAACATCCCGCACCCGTATATGCTCGCTGCCGCCTCTCCTCGCAAGCATGACTCTAGTTTTGACAACATCAAGCGGAGTCGTCAGCCCCGCAGCAACAGCTCCCGCAATGCTGCCAAATAACGCACTCGGTCCGGCACCCACCCCAGTTGATCCGGACCCGGGGACGGTGTGGGCATCTGTTCCCGAAGCTCGGGACGCATATGCATCTTTCATCGTTTCCCACATTGTAAACTGCAAGACGGTGAACGGGATCTCGCGCGCAATCGTGATGGCCGTGCCGCGGTATAATTCTCTTATAACGAGGCCCAGCCCTCGCCTCCGCGTGTCATTGGCACTCCCGGAGCCCGCGTGCCGCAATGAGAGGATATCCTTAAGCGCACGAAGCGTGGATCCACCAAACAACCCAGCCTGGGCGCGTTGCTTTATTACCTCCGTAGGAACTCGGACAGCGCACGCGGATATTTCGCCAAGGGATGACGCGAGGGAGTGTGTGAGGATTGCATGCTGCCAGGAGACGGGGGTGGAAGTCGAGGATGACGGGGTTGGGAGAAGGTAGCGGTTTACGCCGTCGTAGACGATGAAAAAGCTCGCGGCGGAAGGGGCGGAGCCGAGGAGGACTGAGGGCAAGCCAGCATAGATTCCGCGCACGGTTTGGCGGAGGGACGGGGTAGCGTGTTTCGTGAACGACCCAGTGTGTTTCCGCGCTTGCTGGAGGCGGGTCTTTATGGTATCGAGCGGGTAGAGGGAGAGGTCGACTGTAAGACCAGCCACAGCCCCGGACTAGTAGGGAGAAAGTAGAGAATGTAAGTCACAAGTAATTTGGGCGCAGGGATTATTGTATTATTATTAAGAAATGAACATACTATGAGCGACCTCGTCCAGAGGGACGGATCGGCTGCGGAAGTCCGCTCCGGTTCAGACGGCTCAATCGCGGCCATGGCGCTTGCGGGTTGTCGAATTGATGTAACAGAACAGTTTTCACGTCATCATCGCCGTCACCAATGACATGTAACTTACATTAGTGAGTTAGGTGAGGTTTGGTTGGGACCAAGAATAATCTACGCTAACTAGGGTTCGCTGTGGTTGTTGTCATCGGAAAAAAATAGCTTTGGAATCTCGGCTTGCCGAGTTGCCAAAGGCGGCAAATCATTCCCGATTGCCGAACCTTTCTTGAGTCGAACGATTCTCCTTTCATAAAAACCCCGAAAGACCGGCTATAGTCAATGTAGAGAACCTCGAAAAGAATTACAAATTGATACCAACTTTATGGATAGATTGAAATACTTATATCTTCCTTTTCCCTTTTGGTATAAACCGGGTGATCTCTAACCACAGGGAAGTTTAATACAAATTCGTAAGGTTCAGTGGGACCTATCTAGGTAGTTGGGCATTTTAGGGGAAACAATTAGCAACAGGTAACTCATAATAGTTAAGTCATCTCAGGATTGCGTTGAAATTCAATAGCGGTTTTAAAATCAACGTTATCACGTGATATTGACACCGACGAATAGTGAAAAATTTTTGATAACGGAGCAACAACGGCAAGCTCCGCCAGCTTGACTACGATTTAGATGGCGCTGAGAGCATTACGGCCGGAAAGCAGCAGCCCAATTTCCCCAAAAGAGTTTTGTGAGGCCGTAACAAATCTATGGGAAAGATGGCGAGGCGTGTCGACACCAAGTGTGCCGTCAAGAATAGGTTCGCATGAAAAAGCTCAGGTTCAATCCTTCGTATACATTTTGCTAATTCCGTGGATTTTAGGACTGGCTGTCAGTGGAGGTCCTGACTCGATGGCTTTGGCTTTCCTCTGCAAACAGTTGATATCTGAACGCTTGATTCCTGACCTAAAGGTGAAGCCCTTTATTGTCGACCATTTGGCTAGAGAGGGCAGCACGGAGGAGGCACACAAAGTGGCAGATTGGCTTAAAGACCTTGGTATGATTTTGCAATGATATATTCTATTCAATCCTTGTAATTTGAATTTTTACTATTTGAATGCAGGTGCTAATTGTCAGTTCCATTTTTTGCTTGCGCTTTAGGTTTTGACCCTTCCATTCTTACGCTTAGTTGGCCCGGCGGAGCTCACCCGTCCAGCTTCACCGATTTTGAAACTGTCGCCCGGAAACTCCGCTATCAAATTCTTGGAAAAGCTTGCAGGGACTACAATTCACGAGCGCTATTTTTGGGACACCACCTGGACGATAATATTGAAACGGTTCTGAGTCGAGTAGCCCGAGGACAACGCCAGGCAACCGGCCTCAAGGGTGTAGCCAGCGTAGGCCATATACCAGAATGCCATAGTATTTATGGAGTAGCAGAGAGTGGTTCCTCCGTCTGGTTAGTAGATGGGCAAAGGAGGGTAAAATCTGCTGGAGCTAGGGACCGCTATGGTCGAAGTTCGAAACGATTACAGCCGGATCGCTATTCGGCGACCGGTCCGTCCCATCACTTCCGTGAAGATCTTATACTCCCTATCGCAGAGGGGGGTATTTACCTATTCCGTCCGCTTAATTCCTTCCCAAAGTCACGCTTAACATCTACTTGCCTTCAAAACAACATACAATTCGTAAACGATCGAACAAATTTTGATCCTACCCTTACTTCTCGAAACACAGTGCGACATCTCCTCTCCAACGGCACGCTTCCTCGCGCACTACAAGCTCCATCAATATTACAACTTATTGAAAACAGTCAAAGGATTTCAGATGAGCTCATGGAGGAGACGAACGCATTCTTAGAAAAAGTTCGAGTCCTCAAACTTGACCTTCGAACTGGCAGTCTTGTGATTGACTTCCCGGGTCCTCGAGTTATGGAGGATATTGGAATGTCTCAGGGCGTGTCAATTCGGAGTTCCCCACCTAAGCTTCAGAGGATCCTAGCCATGGTTTTGCGACGCCTTGTTGACATTATTTCTCCTGCTCCAAAAAGCGATATACCGCTCGAGAAATTCACAATGGCGCTACAAATAGTTTTTCCTACACTAAAGTCAGCGTCTGGCGAAACGTCAGCTTCCTCAAGACAGGATATATTTACGGTCGGCGGCGTGAAGTTCGAACCCGTCACACCGTCGAGACAATGGGCTGGGGCCAAAGTCGTCCCTCTCAAATCGTTCGTCCCAAGGAAGCAAAACGATGGTTATGGTTCAAATACCTGGCTCCTGACCCGCCCACCGTACTCAAGGCGTGTCTCAAAGCCCGTTTCCACTTTCGACCTTCAAATTCCCAAATTACCAATTGCTGAATATGATACGGACAACTCCCGCTGGTCGCCCTGGCAACTTTGGGATAACCGACACTGGATACGAGTGCGGGCCGAGCCAGCAAATTTAAAACATCCAGCGGAAAAGGACTCATTTGAATATAATGGCATGAACATCCCCGTTGTCGTTCGTCCAATGGATGGTCCAGACTTAGCAGATGTCAGACGCCGACTTGCAAAATATGCATTGTTTCTTTTCGAAAATCATTCCGATGCCATGAAATCAGATGTTCCATCCTTCCCAACTCTAAAGGCGAGGCAGGAATTGGATGAACTTCTCCAGTACCATGCACCGGATGACCTGAGATATACTATTCCCGTCATCGCAGAAGCAACCGGGCAGAAGCGGGTTCTCGCGTTTCCATCGTTCGGATTCAGGATGCCAGTGACTTTCACTCGAAGGATGGGGAATAATAATACCAGGAGAGACCACTGGACGTTGAACTGGCAGATAAATTATAAACACATCGATCTCGATTTATTAAACCTGGTATCTCGGGATTTGGACAGGGAAATTTCGCGAGGCGCTCCTTTCAGCGAAACTTGAGTCGAAGGTTTTTGTTTTGTTTTCTTAAACATCTAGGGCCAGAGGCGCAATTTTGAATAACTTTGGGGAGTTTTCGTCACTACTTTTGTAATTATAGACATGTATCAATAGCACGAAAGGAAGAATTGCAGACCCCAATCGAGCAGGGTTCACTGAACGCAGCCTTGCGTATGGCACGGCCACTAGAATACGAGCACTCACTAACCTCAAAGAGTGGATGTCGTCTCATTCGACCACCAAATTCCGCCGGCAGAACCGGAAACAATTCGTCAGCTCTTTGTATCAACAGCTCCTTCCACAACCATAGCTACCTATACGGGACTAACAAACAATGTCACGAGCAACCACTTCTTCATCCAGGTAGTTGTTCTTGAGATATTCTGACAAAATGAAGAACCGCGAGCTAACATATGAATGTCCAGCGGTTCCAAGAACAGCATTCTTGTTCAGCGGGATGGGGACAGAATCTTGACCCTTGTCGATGTCGACGCATCACAAATTAATGACGAAGCCAGTGATACTAATGATAGCGATAGCAGCAGCATAGTCGTGGTGTCTCGAGGTATAATCGAATGATATGCAGCTGATCACCTAAATATTAGATTCGACCAAAAGGAAACTAATCAACGAATGGGGCTTTGGAAACTTATCAACGGCTGAAAGTGATTCCAGCGCTGTGGCGGTCGGCTCAAGGAATTTTTAATTAAGCACCAACAACATTGCCAGCATCAATCACGCAGCAACGGAGATTGCGAAGTCGATGCCAGATGCTTTCACAAGAGAGCATTCTGCGAGAATGAAGGCGTTAGCAAGTGGGGGTCCGCTTGATGCTAAATTAGAAGCCTTCCGCCTCCCGGCCTATCATGTATCGAACAACCCGATAGAGGACATTGAGGATGAGGATGGGATGGAGGAAGAATCCAGATTTTCGAGAATTATCGACATGTTTAGAGATCTCAATCTACCTCGGAGAATGTGGGCCAAAACATTCTCGGTCGGACAAGACCAAACCAGTGCTGCGTTTGCTGAAGCTCTTTTCGAAGCTGCAATCAACACAGGCTCCTCGGACATAGTACAAGCGCTGCTAGAAGCCAGCATTGACCCAAATTAGCCTATCAATGGGTCCATGACAGGCTATGTTGAACGGCCAATTCAATATGCTGCTGATTCAAGAATCCGTAACATCAAGATGGCTACACTCCTGCTCAAGGCCGGCGCCAATGTGGATGGAGTTACGGAGGAGAACGGGGTGCCCGCTCTGCATGTAACAGCCGACCATGGCTCTCTCGAGATGGTCAAGCTACTTATGGATAGCGGTGCAGATATTCGTTGCTGGGTTCGTGCTGAGTACTCTAGTGATATCGTCTCGGGTTTCACACCTCTCACATTCCCTGCTCGTCGCTCGAAATACGTAGATAGAGCATTTGATAATCCAATGGCAGACTCTTCGGACGCAGAAGAAGGGGCAGACTAAGGAGTTTGAAACCAGCCGAATCATACGATCTCTTCTGTCATTCCATAAAGCCAGCCAAGATCATGAAATCCTCCAAGATGCGCTGACTGTAGCCGCATACCACGGCAAAACTGGCATAGTTGAGCTCCTTCTCGCGGCAGGTGCCAATATTGACGGAGAAAACAGTTTGGGATTCATAGCGCTCAAGACTGCCATCTTGCAAAACTATGAAACACTGCAGACCGCTTCGAAGATCATTAGACTTGGTGCTAACCAGAATCACCTGAACAAGTTGTCCCCATTACACATAGCAGCTGCGAAATGTGACGCGCGCTTTGTACAGCTCCTTGTTGATAATGAAGTCGATGTCGATACTGGCATTACACTTGTACCAAAACGAGATTCTCCGATGTTAAGCCCCCATTTTAGCAACAGAAGGCTAGCCAACCTAGAAGCAACCATTACTCGCCTTCACACTCCGCTTCAGTTTGCCTTACATAGAGTCCATAGTCTCATATTGCGCAGTCGGAAGATAGATAAAGCCGCTATGATCTTATTGCAGGCAGGGGCTAAGCTTATGGGTGGAGAGCTTGTGCAAGCGGTGGATTTTGATAGCGTCTTAAGTATAGACACTATTAGACCGGGGCGTCGACATAAACGAACAGAGCTGGGACGACAGGACAGCTCTCCAGGCTTGCCTTGGGGCTGGGCATGACAGTCTGTCTGCTTTCTTGCTCCGCAATGGCGCCAGGTTGAATGGGGGCAAACTCTTTTCAGTCTCAAGGCTGGGCGACGGGAACTTGTCGACCTCCTCGTGGCCAACCGCGCTACTCACCATGACACAGGCCCGAATGGGGAATCAATTCTGGAAGGGGCTTGCTTATCCCAAGATTTGAACCAGATATCTTGGGCAATTCGTCACGGCCCACGGCCGTACGACTCAGGAGCACTTTGTGCCACTGTCTGTTCCTTCAAGAAAGGGAACGATATCACATCTATCAAAAGCCTCCTTAGCGAAAGGGAAGGTGGACAAGCTGTTGGAAGCCACTGCAGTAGGTTATGCTGCTTACTGGACAATTTGGCCAGTTTTGAAATGTCTCCTCAATCTTGGGGTTTTGGGTGAATGCAGTTCCATTAAGTTGGTATTACGGATATACGGACTTACTTCTACATTATCACTACAGACTAAGTGAGGGCTGCAAAAGGCAGTTCTGGCACAGCAATTCCATGATCCGCGGTTCTGTCTTGGTCACCGCTATCCTCGGAAAAAGCTGGGAAACAGTGCAATCGCTCCTCGACGCGGGTTACCTTCCTGATGCCCTATCATTGCTGGTTGCAATCAATAAGTGTACCTCAGAAGATGTCGCTAAACTCATTTCCCACGGGGCTGATGTCAACGCGCGCCCCTTTCACAATCTTGATAAACCTTTCCAACTAGCTTGCCGCCTCAAGCACATTCAATTAGTGGCACTGCTCCTTTCTCATGGAGCAGATGTTAATGCCTCAGCAGCCGTGAACGTACCAACAATCGACCATTGGGGTGAAGGGCCGAATGAGCCCCTCCCACGCTCAGCACTGCAGGCTGCCGTTGAACACGGCCATCTAGAGCTTATTGACATGCTTCTCACGGCTGGAGCAGATGTGAATGGCCAATTGTCCCCAGACGCGGGTGCCACTGCGCTGCAGCTTGCAGCCGCAATGGGTATCACGAAACAACTTCTAGAGCTCGAGGTAGAAATCAATGCCTCTCGAGCAGACATTAAAGGTCGAACAGCCCTAGAAGCTGCAGCGGAACAGGGACGGCTAGACATGGTGCAGTTTTTGCTGGAGAATGAGGCAGAGACGGAGGGAGGTGGTATCTGGTATTATCATAGGGCTATTGGATTTGCAAAACGGCATGGCCATCAGACAATTGCCCGGTTGCTTGAAGAGTGGAGGGAGTGGATACTCAAAAACTATGACTGCGACGAAATAGAAGACGAGCTCTTAGATGACGAGTTTCGGGAGGATGATTATGGCGAGTATTGGGAAGACGAGGATACTGACGGCTATTATTAAATGGCCCAGCTATCATTTCTTATCAACTAAGCCCTCAATTCCCGTTGTTGTTGAATCCTGTCCCTTCTTTTCATTTATATTCTAAGAAAAGGAGCATGGAATCTAATAAAGTCGAATCATCTCTAGGGACTTCCTAAAGGGTATTGAGCGGTTATCTTCATACCCATAAAAAAAAAATCAACAGGCGCCCCCGACGTGGCAAAATGTTTCTATAACGTTCGCGTGGGCGTAGTAGTATCGCGACTTGCAACACTCCCAAGGATGCCATCGTCAGCAGAATCCCAAAAGCAACACCTACGTCAAATAATTTTCTGGAAAGCTAAGGTACATACCAACAGTTTACAGGTTAGGATTTGCGGTAACTGATGTAACTAGTATATAAACTTCAGCTTTTGAACGATTCTTGTGTAATCGTTACTACAATAAGGGAATTGTAGTCCTTTCCGCATTCAACTAAGAAGAGCCCGAAATTCAAAAATTCAAAGCAAAGCAAAATGTTCTTGACTTCATTCCACTAAATACAGCAGTAACCTCCTACACATTATTCAAATGGGGAAAACTATAGAACGAACACCATAAACCGATTGTTTTGAAATCAAGAAGCCAACCAATCCCTAAACGCTTAAGAAAAACTCAACCAGCCAAAGAATCAAACCAAAGTCCGTGCTAGGCCGGGTATGGAACCCATGAAAGGAAAATTAACAATTCGAATGCAAAAAGAAGCCCATAACCGCCCTGTGTATGTGATCATATCCATGCCTCATATCCTATCTACCCAAACCTATACCTCACAATAACCGTACCCATCCAAGGACTCCGTCAGTCATCCCGTTCCATTCCATATGCCGTGCCATAAGTTATCAGTGCCATCATCACATAACGCCCCTCATTCCTCTCCCTTTAGTACATCCCCATTCACAGAGTCAAGATGCTGCGCTTTCAACCCTCCAATCTCCCTTTTCAGTCTCAGATTCTCTTTCTTCACCCTTGCCACTTCATCCAGTGCTTCTTTCAGCTGCGATTTGAGCGCCTCCTCGCCGGCCCCTAGGCGTACTTCCTTAGTTACTTTTCTGAGCTCAACATTGAATCGTTCATAAAGCGCGCTGTTTTCCGCGCTGGCTTCTCGATAGAGCTCATCGAGTTTCCTAGCTCTCCTCTCGCTCACAAGGAGCGAGTCTTCAATATCCTTCTCGAGGATAGTTGTTCTTGAAGACAATTCCGATAACAATGTATTAACCTTTGACTCAAGTGAGCGAGCACGATTGTGGAGCGTCGCGGTAGAACCTGAAGTCGACGGAGGCGACGCGAGCGCTTTCGGAGTTCCCGGTCGTCGCCTTACCGGGGAAAGTCTAGGGTTCGATATTTCATCTGCAAAAGAAGAAATTTCAGTTTTAATGGTAGACTCTGCATTTGCAATTGCCTTTTTCTCATTTTGAAGGCGTTCCCGTAACTATACATTTGTGGAATGCTATTAGCGCGTAGCTTCATGAAATTCATGCACTGATTTGAGGATCCACATACCTTTTGCGGATTCTGCATTCGTAGTTTGGGAGTACGCTGAATCGATGAAGACGACTGGGGCCTACCGTTATTCATATCCGACGGCCCAGGTAAAGCGACCCGATCCTTGAGGAAGGTATTTCTCGGAGATGGAATATAAGATAAGCCTTCCGATCGTCGCTTTGGGCTAATCTGTAGCGGAATGGCTGAGTTCGGCTTCCTATTCGCGGCTCTTTCCCCAAGCATAGTCCTTGGTGTCGGTGGAGCATTCTCTTTACTTGATGATACCAGAGGCCGCGAGGGAGATGGATTGGCAGGAGCTGCCCTTTTCGGAGTTTGTGGTCCAGACCTACTGGCCGGTCTGGACTGCTGCTGGGGAGGAGAGCCCTCCGGTGAAGCTTTGGCGTTCGGAGAGGAGGTTGGAGTAAGCGGGCGCCTTAAATCAATTGGGGGCAGCAGAGCCGCAACGTTTGTAGCAGGCAAAGCCTTCAGGTCGGACAGCGAACTTCGTCGCTTTTTCCTTACGGTAACAGGTTTGTCCGTAGCGGGATCCTCACCAATGGATGCAAGTGTAGGAGCATTGCTGTGAGCGCTGTTTGGTCTCAACGACTGATCTTCCGCGGATGCGGAAAATATACCATGTGCCAGAAGGCGTTCCCTTGACACGGGTCGCAGTAGACTGGCTAAACGAGAGTCTGTATCGATAGATCTAGATCGGAAAAGGGATGCCTTCGAAAAACTCGGTGGCTGCGAGTCTGCTTCTCCATGTGCTTTAGATTTGCTAAGTGTTCGAATAATAGAACTAACCTTCCCTTCGCTCTCGGATTTACCGCGGTCTCGAGAACTCCCAAAGCCAAACCTCTTTCGAAACGAAGATGTGTTTGAGCTTATGGACCCGTGGTTTGTGGATCCTGTATTCACAGATTGGGTCCGAGTAAGCGGGGTCATTTGGTCATTCAATGGAGTCCCTTCCATGGGTCCATCGAGTGTGCCACTCTCTTCAAATAGCCGATCAAAGTCCTCTACAAGTCGATCGAGGAGCGATATATGCTCCATAGCATTCCCCTTATCCGTCAAAATTTCAGAGAAAGTTGCCGTAAGAGCACCGCGATCACCATCATTACCAGAAGCATCCAGCAGCTCAGCAAGTAGTTTTACAAGCGCTGTAAGAGCTCGACGATTCTGAGGACTCATTTCTGTTAGGAATTGATGGAAATAGCCCTCGAAATCTCCCGGAAACATTGAATCAAACTTGGATTGTATGACCTCCCACGCGTCCAGAGAAATTATGGGACCGATGTGTTCGTTCCAGGCATTGGCCATGAAGGTTTCAAACGCCACAAATAAAACGTCAACTGGAGATTCGGCGGCCAATTGAATTTTTCCAGCATCCTCCAAAAGTGCATTGTAGAGTTCATTTACTGTGGCGAGGTCAGCCTGTCTTCGCCCTCGAAGTATGCGACCAACAATATTCCCACTCCTCGAGCGAATCGCAATAACGTAGGCTGCAAAGGTCTCTTCTAGAGATTTAAACATATCTGGTGTGTTCTCTCCCGAGTTTACTCCAACGAGAGTGCTACCATTTCTGGATGCGGGCCTAAGTGCTAAGCTATTGGAACGGTCTAATGCGGGCGGAAGGATCTGTGGAATTTCTCGTAGAATAGGTGCAGGTAAAAGTGATCTTGGAGGCGGTAAAGAGCCTTTTGGACTGCCGCCCCAAAAGTTTGATAGAAGTTTAGAGGGAGAAGGGGGTCTGAATCCTCGTCCCGATTTTGCGTGCTCCAGAATGTAGCTGGAAACGGCTCGAATAATGTTGAAGTTAGTGTTTAAAATGGCTGAAGTAAGAATGGGGTTCTCGGGTTGATGCAATGGGCGAAGGACATTATTAACTATACACGTAGTTAGTAATCAACATCCTAGGACGAACCAGGGGGAAAGCTAACTTACGTCGATTGGACAAAACTGAGGTAAACTCCGCAGCTGCAAACGTATCTACTGAGGAGACTCCTACTACAGATTCTATCTCCATCTTGTACATATCATTCCCAGACATTGAGATCGAGGCGACAACCTCTACGCCTGGTCGACTCAGCTCTTTCGACCTAACAGCGTTTGTTCCGTCAAATATGAGCTTAACTGTGGAGGAGAGGTTTTGGCCACTAGCATCTTTTGGTTCATCCTCGAATACGGATATCAAGACGCCCAGATTGGAAGAACCACCCTTAAAACTACGAAGGCACCATTTGTTTCGCCCCCGATACTCTTCAGGGAAACGTCCCTCAATTCGAGCCTTGGTGAGTTCTTCAATCAAACGGCCAGCCTTGCCCTCGTAAGTGGATAACAGTTCTAACGCGTGCATCGCAGAGACAGAGCGAGAACGCTCATTCTGTACAGAGTTTCCGGCCGGAGTAAGATATAGGATACGGCCACATACCGATTGGGTGCAGCGGATGTTGGTTATCCGCAACGCCTGCAAAAACTTGAGTTCGAAGGGTGTGGGTTCTTCATCAGTGGGCGCAATAGGAGGTTTGTCGAGCTCGGCAAATAGACCGCGAGCGGTCATCCTACTTTCAAATGCTTTAGATAGCAAGATCAAATAGTCTCCGTAAAGTAACAGGATCCCGGACTCTAGGCTTTCTTCAGGTGAGCATAGTTGGTAAGGAGGTGGTAAATCGTAGAAATCAACCGCGGCAATCAATCTTCCTGAAGGTAGGCTGGCTACGGGGAAGTCTTCAACAAGGCTCTGCAGGCGTTTTAAATCGCGGGAATTGTCTTTTGTAGAATGCGAATCTAGTGAACATATTTCTGTGATAATATCGCGAGCCTTGAGGAGTGTCTTAACCGCTGGGTGAACCGACGGAAGCGCACTAGTCATAGCATCAATAAGAAGGCTATATCTTGGGAGGCGCTGAACAGGTTCCATTAAGACTGAACGCATCTTTTGTTCTCCAGTCTCGTACACTCTCTTGGAGAAACTTGACTGGCTATCATTGAGGAAAGAGCTCAAAGTCTGAGAGAAACCATGGTGAGTGTGCATATAATCCCCATATGGCTGGGAAAATTTTGGGAACCATTCCAGGAGAGCATGGGCAAATTTGATTATTCCTATGGGATCATTTCTCTTCCCGGTGGCGTCTCTGCGGAACGACGACGAGTCGATGTGTGTGTTTCTTGCCAAGTCTTCAAGGGCATCTTTCTCCGTTTGTTCCAGTATTTCGCGGATTTCGCCCAAGAATCCCATGTTCACCTCTAAAATCTCGTTCAAACAAGGAGGGAAAAGCTGTTTCAACGCAGTCTCATCAGGGCTTGTACTTGTTGGCGGTTTATCGGCAGCTTTATGGGAAAATTTTTGAATGATATTATGTACCAAGTCGTACATTTTCCCAACATATCTCTCCTCGGTATCTACAGCTTCACACATAGCAAGTCGAAGTGTCTCCTTTTGGGCGGCAGAGAATAATTTGGACTTGCTAGTGTTTATGGGCAGGGATGGGGCGCGCCGCAGTTTCGAAGTAGGTAAAAACACAGGTTCACCAAGATGTTCAACCAACGAAGTATACTTTCCATACTGTGTGGAGTCTCTCTGTAGTTCAGTGTCGCCATCGGAATTGCGAGAGCCATTCGAGGTAGCTATGGACCCGGGGGGTAAAACGAGGTCCACGTCAATCCATGGTACAATTCTATCGTTATAGGCGTCCCTGAGGTCGCGTATGGCGTCTGTAGGGTCCTCTACCTTTACCATTTTATTTGCTAACTCGGCAGCATGGAATTCATCAAATGCGTTCGGCAATCTTGCTGACAGATTTCCAGATCGCGCAGTACCTAGGAGTACATATCTGACCGGTTCAGATAGGTCTCCAAAATATTTCAAAAGACAGACCGCTAATCCTCTGTAAATTTCGTCGCCTTGCTTGTCTCGTGGAAGATGATTGACCGCGGCATAAAGCGGACCAGCTGGGGAGATTGTAATTCGAGGGTAGCTTAGCACCCCACCAGGGGCGATGATATGTGCTTGGAAACGAGAGCTTCGAACGGTGGAATTGGCGGTTATAACAGGGCCGTGGAATATGAGGACTGACGAAAGGATAGGGTCCACCGCATGGTAGAGTGTAAGTTGCTCGAGGGGTAGACCTGCGATGGAAGCGGAAACGAAGGCCATGGCGGGGGAGGGAGTGCCCCTTCTGCACGTTGCGCCGGCGTAAAGATTGAGGGTAACGAGGGGCGATTTGCGATGGAAAGCGTATAGGACAATTTAGCAGGTATAGAAGCACCGTCCTACCAAGTCACAGAGTGAGAATCCGAGTCGTTCTTGCACGGTCGCTAATTCCACCTGCCTTGTGTTTTGGGCATTGCAAAAGGTAAACAAAACTCAAGCTAAGATCAAACACAACCATTTGGTATCATGAAGACATGGCTCTATACCGAATGAAATATTGTTCTGAGTCCCAAGAAAAATTCCCAATGAAATAATGGGTAAATTGCTGAGCAACATAAACCCGCTGTCATCGAGCGGTCAACATCCACAAGGCGGAGAAGTACGGTGAGTTGGCTGGTCATGCCTGGATGCGCTGTTTACGGGCGTTGTTGTTGCCCGCATCCTGTAGCTGTGATTGGCTCCAACACGCGATTGCGCGGCGTCATCCGCGTCTATCGTTAGCTTATGTCATCCAAACAAAAATAGCACGTGATATAACTCCACTCCATTTTAAGGCTTTCCTCCACAATTCTATTCTGAGAACTGTCAATTAATTATTCGAGACTAACCTGTGGAGGACGCGGGATAGCATCGATAGATTATGGACGGCCATTCCTGACTGTCAATTCCCCCCAAAGAATTGTCCCTATCAGTCAGATCCGAGGCTAGTCGTCGAATATGGTCTGCTTCATTCTTAGACAAACATTCCTCCCAAATCTCGTCCCGTTCCAAAATAGTGCTAGAACAGCGATGGGCGAAACTGATCAGTTTCAAAATATCCGGAAGGATAAAGTAGATCCAAACTCAGATCAAGCGACCTGCGCGTCAGATATGAATAATATCCCTGCTCGATACTCCTAGCTATAATATCCTGAAGCCAGCATTTGAACACTAGTAACTTGCTCATGAGATGGGCGGCTATGTGGATGTGTATCGTAGGCGTAGAATACTAAATTATCATACGATGCAAAAACACGAGCCTCGATGACCCACAGGAAAGCACTTCTTCTGTTGACGAAGCTGAGTGTCAATTAATAGATGCGCTGAGCCTTGTAGTTAACCTCGAAAAATAAAGTATTCAGATGGTCAACCTCACAACGCTAAACCTTAAGTGGAAACAATGTTTATGTCAGCTGCAGTTTTTGGACCTGCCGAGAGGACAGAGGACAGTGACTGTGCTCGACGCCAGACCTTTGTTCCCCTGCCGACCAAAGTATTACGGGATTGTCTGCTGGGAGTCGTGGCTTATGAGGATTATTCAACGTATGGCTAAATGATTGATTGAAAGGACGTCCATACCTATACCGTCCGGTGGCATGAACTCCCCTCGGACACCACTTGAGCCCTCCGCTATATACGTTTGCGCCGCGCAGAATAAAATATGACCATTGCAGTCGAGAAGCTTGATGATCACGATTCCCCTGATATATTAGGCCCTTCCACATCTAGCTCGGTGGCTCAAAATGCCCCAACCCCTACACCGGATTCGTACCAGAGTGGCAACATGAACGGACGCAGCACCATACCAATAGCGGTAAATCCCGTCGAATTGGTGACGACAGAATGTATCACCGTCACATCCTCGATGCGAAAGCATTCAAGATGGGCTCATTCATCTGTTGCGGCTATCCTGGGTGGAGGTGGTGCGTCGCGTTCGTATGAACGCGAGTTTTCAGTCCCGTCCAACTTATCCCTTGAGGGGAAATCCCCGCCGAAAATCGCCCCAACGAAATGTGGAGCTATGGGGGTGGGGGGAGAACATGCACTCGCGAGTAGATGGGGTCTTAGGGGAAAGAAAGGAAAGAGCTTGCAAGACAATCCGCTGATGTCTGCTTTTACGCGGCTACGTATCGACTTAAAAGACTGTAAAGATATTCGTGATTTTGATACCCCGGCGCTTCTACATCCATTTCTTCAGGTTATACGCTCATCGTCGACATCCGCTCCCATTACATCCCTCGCATTGATCTCAATAACGAAATTCTTTGCTTACAATATCATCAACCGGGATTCTCCACGTCTCTCCATGGCCCTTCAGCTTTTGTCAGCCGCTATCACGCATTGCCGATTTGAAGCCACTGACTCTGCTGCCGATGAAATTGTTCTGCTTCGAATCCTCAAGCTCATGGAGGGCATGCTCTCCAGGCCTGAAGGCCAACTTCTGGGAGACGAAAGTGTTTGCGAAATGATGGAAACAGGACTGAGCATGTGTTGTCAAGTTCGACTATCGGAAGTCCTTCGCCATTCTGCCGAAATGTCTATGATAAATATGTGCCAGGTCATCTTCCAGCGCCTCTCCCAACTGGACGTCGATGATATGCCGGATCTCAATTCGTTGCAAGAAGAGAGCGCGCATCAAGATTCTGGGAACTTCAAGATGGATCCCTCAGTGGATGGCGATACCGTTACATCACAACATCCTTCAAGTCTAGGCATGGATACGTCTACCCCAGAAAAGGATCGTACCAGCGGTGAAGACGATTCAGAAGCCACCGTCAATGGTGACACATCTGCCAATCAGCCCGCGCCACATGAAGACATGTTCCCCGAAGTCAAACCGTATTCTCTACCTTCAATTCGAGAACTTTTCCGTGTCCTTATTGACTTATTAGATCCACATAACCGCCAACACACTGACACAATGCGAGTTATGTCACTAAGGATAATCGATGTTGCCCTTGAGGTCGCAGGGCCTTCGATTTCTCGTCACCCAAGCCTTGCACAACTTGCGAGAGATGACTTGTGTCGCCATCTATTCCAGCTAGTAAGGTCTGAAAATATGACCTTGTTAAACGGATCTCTTCGAGTTGCGGGTACGCTACTCTCTACCTGTCGCAGTGTCTTGAAATTGCAGCAAGAGCTTTTCCTCTCTTATCTAGTCGCGTGTTTGCATCCAAGAGTAGAAATACCACGGGAACCGGGCATCGACCCAAGCCTCTATTCAGGCGTCCCCCAGTCACCGAAATTGGTGAAGCCCTCGCCGTCGCAAGCCAGCAGTGGTCGTTCAACTCCAGTTCCTGTCAAAGACCGCCAAAAGCTGGGCATGGAAGGCGGATCTCGGAAGCCTGAAGCCCGAGAAGCGATGGTGGAAAGCATAGGAGCATTAACACGGATTCCCAACTTCATGGCTGAGCTATTCGTGAATTATGACTGTGAAGTCGATCGCGCTGACCTTTGTGAAGATATGGTTGGACTTCTATCCCGTAACGCATTTCCTGACTCCGCAACATGGAGTACTACAAACGTGCCTCCACTATGTCTTGACGCCCTCTTGGGATACGTGCAATTTATTGCCGAAAGGCTAGACCAGCCTCCTAATTACGACAATCTTCCAGACCCTGCACGCCTGAGAAGTCAGCGGCAACGGAAAAAGATCATTATCCAAGGTGCTGCGAAATTTAATGAGGACCCTAAGGCGGGAATTACACACCTCGCCTCGCACGGAATCATAGATGACCCACATGACCCTCATCTTGTTGCAAGTTTTCTCAAAGGAACAAGCCGAATATCCAAAAAAGTCTTAGGAGAATTTATTTCGAAAAGATCTAACGAAACTCTCCTTGACGAGTTCATTGGTCTTCTCGACTTCAACGGCAAACGAGTAGATGAAGCGCTGCGGGATCTCCTTGGTTCATTCCGTCTGCCTGGCGAGGCCCCTCTTATTACCAGGATTTTAACGGTATTCTCGGACAAGTATATCACCAAAGTAGGACCCAGTGGAGTGGCGGATAAAGATTCACTATTCGTCTTGACGTACGCCATCATCATGCTAAACACGAACTTATACAATCGCAATGTCAAGCCCCAGGATCGCATGTCGTTTGAGGGTTTTGTAAAGAATCTGCGGGGAGTCAACGGTGGGAATGATTTCGACATTGATTTCCTTCAAGACATCTACACTTCTATCCAACATAACGAAATTATATTACCCGACGAGCACGAAAATAAGCACGCATTTGATTATGCTTGGAAAGAGCTGCTCATGAAGACCGTGGACGCTGGGGAATTGGCTGTCTTCGACTCCAACGTATTTGACGCTGAAATGTTCGAGGCAACTTGGCGGCCAGTGGTGGCAACTCTTTCCTATGTTTTCATGTCTGCCTCGGACGACGCAGTCTTCTCTAGAGTCGTCATCGGTTTTGACCAATGTGCCAAGATCGCTGCTAGATACAATCTGACAGAAGCATTGGATCGCATCATCTACTGTCTTAGCTCCATTAGCACCCTTGCTCCAGATGTACCACCCAATACGACTCTCAACACCGAAGTTCAAGCCGGTAAAAAGAGTGTGATGGTCAGCGAGCTTGCAGTCAAACTAGGCAGGGATTTCAGGGCACAGCTGGCAACTGTCGTGTTGTTTAGAGTCCTGACGGGAAATGAAGCCATCGTTCGAGAGGGGTGGACACACATTATCCAAATATTTCACAACTTGTTCATAAACTCGCTCATTCCTCAGTTCGAGAGTATGAAGCCGAGGCTGGATATCCCTCCAATTCCGCTCCAACCCCCGTCGCAAATTATCGACCGAGATGGAAGAGGTAACGACAGCGGACTACTTTCGGCCTTCACATCATATCTCTCAAGTTATGCTGCGGATGATCCCCCTGAACCTTCTGATGAAGAGCTTGAAAACACTCTGTGCACAGTGGACTGCGTCAATGCTTGCTCCATTCCAGAGGTTCTTTCCAATATAAGGTATGTTACAGTCTGCCCAACTTTGGAGTATTTTATTCTAACCTTCACAGCTTAATGCCCGTGGAATCTATTGTTTCCTTAGTCAACGCTTTGCTGTCAGATCTTCCGGACACAACCCCAGCAGTTATTGTTGTCAAGCCTGAAAGGCCTCCGCCCAATATGTCTCGGCCACCCAATAGAAAAGCCGACCCTAATCAACCAAGCTACGACCCTGGAATGATATACATACTTGAATTGGCAACAATTCTGACCCTTAGAGATCAAGATACTATCCGTGAGTTGGGTGAAAGCCTCGCTGGCGCCTTACAAAATATCGTTCGAGACTTCAAGGGCTTCCATTCTCTTGCAGTTTCTCGAACCATATCATACCTTCTAAATCTCCTTTGCCATGCCTATGTACGTTGGACTTTCCCCAAACAATTTATATATGTTCGCGCGATTAACATCAGGCAGGAACACTCCTTTATGCGCGCGCCGGTTGTCCTTCATGCCATCTCTGCCTTCGATCAAGATACGATAGACGATTCAGCCATTAACATCATCAAAGGACTTTCCTTCTGTATCACCAGTGCTGCTCCTCTCAAAAGCGAAATTACAAAGTCCCCAGATTTCTGGTCGATATTGCAGCGGTTACATCGACATCAGGAAGCCGCTCCTATGGTTTTCGACCTTCTTCAACATATTGTAAACTTCACTCCGCCCGTGATTTCAGCCGACAACTACGAGTCTTGCGTAAGCCTTGCCAATGATTTTGCGAGCGCAGGGAGCCTTGCTGCTGTGCCTGACTCAAGGAGGACTCCTTCAGGACGACGATCCAAGCTAGTGAAGCCCCCTAAAGCCCAGTAAGTCCTGTGCTTCTTCCCCGCTTTTTGGCACCTTCATTATTGTCACTTGAGCTAATCCAATTTAGGGATAATCCGTTGGTGCAACGTGGAATTAAAGCAATCGGCCTTATATACCACTTGGCAGGACGAGTACCGGATCTCATTCAACAGTCTCATCTAGAACGGAACGAAGGTACGTGGAAGTATTTTCTCAGATTTGTCTCCACTTCCGGTACTAAAGTAATTTTTTTAGCATGGGCCGCATACTGGTCACCAATATTCAACGCACTGACCACACAGTGCCTCAATCCTTGCCGTGATGTTCGACACCAAGCCATATCGGCACTGCAACGATCCCTGTTGTCACCTGAACTTGCATCGACGGATCATACAGAGTGGATCGCGATTTTTGGAGAAGTATTATTCCCACTAATCTTACGACTCCTCAAACCTGAGGTGTACCAATCAGACTCGGTCGGAATGAGCGAAACTCGAGTTCAAGCAGCAACCCTCGTGTGCAAAATTTTCCTTCATTACCTTGTCCTACTTTCGGAATGGGATGGGATGTTGGATCTATGGCTGAAGATCTTGGATATTTTGGACCGCATGATGAATAGTGGTCAGGGAGATAGTCTTGTAGGTTCTCCCTTTTTTGGTGTGGTCATGTTATTGGTCATTCGTCACACCCTTATGTGTTTCCGAAAGCTAACAGATTTATTTTTGGATGCACAGGAGGAAGCAGTACCTGAAAGCTTGAAGAATATACTCCTTGTAATGGCAGATGGGGGTTATCTAGCTCCACCTGCGGAAGACCCTACAAAAGAAAGGATTTGGGTCGAGACGCAGAAGCGCCTAGATCGGTTTCTTCCTCACCTCTTTGCTGAGATATTCCTTTTCAAACCCGAAGAACAACATCCTCCTCCATCACCAGTACCACAGCAGCCATTCCCTTCAAACACCCCTGTTCAACCCCAGCCCCAACCTTGCCCCGAACAAAGCCATGAACACCCCAACGCCAATGAAGCAGTAGCCAAGGCCGATGTTGTGGACGACGATAATACTCTCGACTAAGCCAAGCCACGGGGGAGGGTTGCCGTTTTGCCACTGACTATGGAGAGTCGGAGAGCCGGAGAGCCGGCGCTGATTCCTGCGGCGCTGTCTTGTTGTACAACAAAGGTTGATCATTGCACAATTTTTCCTCATCTAGACAATTTCGAGAATTTGTTTTGTTTTTATTTGGAGTTTGCTCCAAACCACCCGTATATACATACCTCCCATCTTGTTAGGTACTTTAGAGAAAGAACTATAATTTCACTTTCTATATGATGCAATCCTCCCTCCCATAGATGCTTAGCCTCCTGCGTTCCTGCTTTCCAGCACTTGTCTTGCTCAACCAGCCAGTCGGCCATCCAACGCTCGACAGGCGCCAGCTCAGCCACTTGTCTGCACATGATGCCCGCACCCATGTTAGGCAAACTGGATCAACGTCCGAGATAGAAGGTGGGAGATGGTTGACTCTCTCTCAACTTCTCAAGGGGCAGCTGGGTGGTCAGGGCTTTTGAAGATGTTGAACTGAAATCCCTTATCGGTTAATTATAGCTTGGCTCGCCTACTAAGAACCTGGAGAAAGCTGTCGTGAAGAGTGTCAGCATCTCAACTCGCGGCCCGTTTCATTCAATCCCTTTGCAAAACGCAAATCTTTCCTCAGATGAACATCCCCAAAAGCCGTTCCGCAGTAAATGTGCGCTCGATGGTTCTAGACACCATCCATATGATACAACTAACTGATTGACACTCGACATATATCTCATTCACACAACCGGAGAGGTTCATTTCAGTTGCTAATTCGACATTTTGAAAAGATTTTTCAGATGTTAATGGCAGGGATAAAACCTCACCTAGCTCTTCTGTTACAACTAGTTATGGTAGCCCTGCTGACACCAGCATGTTTATTTACCTTGTCTCTCTCTTCGCCACTCGACCAGCCAACGAGCAAACAGCATGAGCATGACTCATATACGTTGCAGCTCCGGCTCACTGGCAGCCAAAGGTTCTGCCAAAGTTGAAATGCACCTTTTCGGGGCTAGGCGCGTCTTTCTCTTTGCTTTTTACCACCCCGCAGTTGATGAAAGAAATGCACGTGCCAGATCTTTGCTCTGTGACATGTACTGGTACCAAATAAAATATATCCACGGGTGTACGGTACACAGCTGACGAGTCGGCTGAAAGGTGGTTATATATGTATGGACAGTACATACATACATACTTGAGAATGTAATGTACAGGTCCATGTACTCTACATGCAACACTTGCACCCGTATGGGATTGTTGATTGTGACTATTTGTATATCCCAGCACTCCAGCTGTATCCAGACCCCCTACCTGCTATCCCCGCTTCCTTCAAGCATTTGGCTGCCGCCTTATAGGGGCGTGCTGCGCATTCTAGTTGGTAGGCTGAGTAGTGGCACCAGCGGCGTTGGTAACCTTGGTCTCTTCCTCCTGTAGCCCCTGAGTTTTGGGACCTTTGCGCGGTTTATGCCTTATTTAAGTCTGTGAAGTCATTGGAAAGTTTGGTACTGGCACTATTTCTCGCCTCCGAGCTGTTCATTGCACGTGTCCAAATACCTCCTTATCATCAGCTTACGAACATATAAATATTAGTCTACCCCTCAGCTCTTATATAATAATTCATAGTCCTCCATTCCCAAACCCTTTAAAATAATAAGAAGAGCCGGATATCGCATATCATTCTCATATATCAGATACCCCTTCAACGACCCAAGGCATATTCTATTGCCCCTCGAGATTTGATGGCTAGTTTTGACCCTCACATGACTACCAACTACTCGTCGAGAACGGGCGGTATGATTCTCCCCTTCCCGTCTCAATCTACCATTCTAAAGACGAAACATGACTGTCTGTTGAAGCTTTTGCGGGTCAAATATACTAACTGTTACCTTATCTTCCAGAAGCTGCAGACCCCACCAAGCAGGAAAGGCTACACCCCACAAAAAGCGAACCAGCTGAAACTCGAAGTGATCCTTTCGCCAGCCAACGGACGCATGACAACGATCCATTTGCCAGGTCTGTATCTGCCGAGAGGGATAGCGCCACTTCCCCAACTGCGATTGATAGACGTATGAGCAAGGAATGGGGTACGTAGGATAGTTCTTTTGTCGTTGTCAAAGATCACAGCCCGCCTATGTTTATGGTAATGCTCTGGACTTTCATCACCACCCTATTCGCTCAGAGGAGGGGATCATTTGCTTTCTAAGCTTCTTCTAGAAACCAAAGGACGCCCTCCTCCGAGATAATGATGAAGAGAGTATTATATGTTCTTAAACTACCGCACTCGTCCGTAACCGTTAGATTTTGAACGAAAGAAAATTTGGGAGCACAACAGATCGACTAACGCTATTGAGTATTTATCCTGGATATAGACGCAGCTAAGGTGCCCCCGTCAAGATTCCAACGAAGGGAAGGGAGCATTTTTTCAACATCAAGCTCGAGGGATAGCCATATAACCCGTAAGGACCGCGATTCTGCCTACCATGCGAAATTAAAGGAAAAGGTTAGTTTGTGCTACTTTGTGGCGATATCTCCCCTCCTCTGCTATGCTATCGTACCTTTGAACGGATCTCTATTCACTGGACATGGAAACGTGTTTGCTGACAATGCTGATGTTGTGAATTTTGTAGGGCTGGGTGTAACTAAACATTTCGCCTCCTGACGTCATTAAAACGCACGATCCTCACTTTATTTCGACATCTCTACTCTGTATATGAAGTTGTTTGAGTGACAAGTAGTCAACGCTGTTACAGCAGCCTATAGTGACATTTGAGTCAAATGAGTATTTTTGAGTATTTTATACTAGTGTTACCATGTACACACATCAATCATATTTATTCAATTTGTAATTAAACAAAGCTTATTATTTAAAAATTTACAGAGTACAGAGCTGTAGAAAAATAAACTTTGTAAACAGTTAATTATATATTTTACAATAAACTAGTTAACTTTATTAATTAATATAATATATCACTCAATAAACTCATTCACTTAATAAACTTTAAAAAGCATTTTATAAAGCTATTAATTTTCAATCATAGTATAATAATATAATAAAATATTAATATTATTTATCAAAAATTAAAACTATATACAGAATACATTATATAAATATATATAATTAATTTAGAAAATGATTACTTAGCTTGTCTCAGTGATTAAATAGTTAATACAGTCATTTAATAGCATCTTAGCATGAGAAATCAGAACATGTGAGTTTGAAACCTGTAGAGAATATATTAAATTCAGAATCTAAGCATCTCAGATTTTTAATAAATACAGAGATGTACAAATTACTTTAATAAATTACTCTATGTTTCTGAGCTGAGAAGTTATTATTATATGTATTTAATTATCACTTCTTTATATTTTTCTATATTCTTATTATTGTAAGAAATCCCGCTTCTCGCTGATTCTTTACCTCTATTTCTATCTCTTATGTAATCAATAGAGTTAGCAGCTCTTGACTACACACAACTATATAGACTGAAGTTCATGACTACTATTCATAACTCAGCTTGAATGCTATTATATATTTGATCTCTACATTTTATCTTTCTACTGTGAATACTTCTAGTAGTTAACAGTACATATCATGCCAAGCTGTAAACATCTGAATAATTACCTGTGAGCTGTAACATGACGGAACTGAAGCGGTGACTAGTCAGTAGTGTTACATAGAGATAGTTGTTTAAGAAGCTGTATAAGTGAGCTTGACTATCTTGCTTGAATAGCAAGCTCATAGGCTACAGAGTTATCATGAAAATATCACAGATATAGTACTTAGTATACTAAGAAGATTGTATGAGAAATACAGTAACTCTTGTATATATTTCAGTAAAAGAAAAACAAATTACTGACTTTTTTAATAAGAAGTCAGCATCTAGCTATTCTATATAGATAATGAGTGAATACTCTTCTCTTATTTCATAAGTAAGAATAGTCAGAGTGATACCTCAGTAGTGTCTTACTATTAAGAAAAAGTAATCTGCTGACCTTGTATAGAAGTAGAATTCTCATATTTATCAATCAGATCTTTCTATAATATATCTGAATAATGTCATAGAGTGGTTGAAAACTGATTTAAATAGTCTGTGAAATGAATGAAATTATCTGCAGAGAAGTAATAAGTTATGCAGAACTACAGCAGAGTCTTAATACAGTGTAAGAAATCTCACTTCTCACGGATTCTTTACCTCTATTTCTATCTCTTATGTAATCAATAGAGTTAGCAGCCCTTGACTACACATAACTATATAGACTGAAGTTCACAAATACTATTTATAACTTAGCTTGAATGCTATTATATATTTAACTTTTATATTTTATCTTTCTATTATGAATACTTCTAGTAGTTAACAGTACATATTATATCAAGCTGTAAACATTTGAATAATTATCTATAAGCACTTATTCTTACATTTCAAGCTCTGTCAGTCAGTAATTATCTGTTATAACTGAAAGAACTAGAAACTTGTATACTTCAATCTCTGTAAACTCTACTGTAGATACTCAGAAGCAGTTATCTGAACTATGAATAATCTCTGTAAAGAAAGTCTTAGAGAACTTATCAATCACTTATAAAATATTATTCTCTATATCTATAATAGAGAAACTCTCTGAATTTATAAATAAATCAATCTTAGTGAAGAATATTCTTGAGCATCTTCTATAAGACTAAGCTATTTTTTTATAAGAAATACTTACTGTCTGTAAACACTTTTAAACTGAGTCTCTAGACATAATCTTCAGAGATACTTATAAACTGAAAAGAAACTTTCTTAAGTTATAACTACTTAAAATTACTTACTGAATCACAATCTATAAAAGCTTTTATAAGTTTGTATTTAAAATTGACTTATAAGTTTGACTGTGTAATATGAAAGATAAAGAAGCTATTATCTATATAATAACAGATCTCTACTATACTAAAGTCAAGAACTAACTGAATTATTTAGAGAATAATTATAAGAGATTCTACTGATCTATTCTCAAGATCTATC